GAGCTGGACTCGATACCAAAGCTCTCCTGTTAATCCCGATTCTGCCGGCAGCGTCCAGCAACGCTTCCACCATCTTAGTTTCCGAATACTTCTCCCATAACCGAGTCCCATGAAAACTGGCGGATGGAGCATTGTAGACAGGCCACTTCTAAATCTGAAAAGACAGAGCGTTATTTAAAAAGGAAAAGCGTTCCCTTTTGCTTCAGTTTGGGCAACGATTTTATTCGTTTGAGGGCCTGAATGGATGGGGGCACTGGACATCGGCTTTATCAAACACGGCCAAAAGCAAATGCTTTCTGCTTGCAATTAAACAAACTAAAGACAGTTTCGGTTACGTGTTAAGTGATGTTCTGTGAAGCCTTTTTTTTTTTTTTTTCCCCTGTTTAATCTTGCTGCTCCCACCTTTCTCTCTGCATATCTAAGGTTCCAGAATACAAATAGCATTGCAGATACCTCTTGTTTGAAATAAAGGATCAAATGTGCCATGATTTTTTTTTAAAAAGGAAGAAAAAAAAGAAAAACCTTCCCCCTTGACTTATTTTTTCAATGTTTTCATATATAAGAGCCAAGCAGTGACATGTACAGAAAATATCTTTGAATATTAAGAAAAAAAAAATCTTGCTGTGTGTCAGACTATTGAACAATTAACTGTTTATATTGAAATTCTGAATAAATTATCCAAGAATAACTCTGTTCATTTTGTGTCTGCTGTCTGTGCGCTTTACCACAGAGAAAGCACTAAATTCGTATCTTGGAATAAGCAATACTTTCAGTTGCAAAATGAATGGTGTTAAGAAAAAAAAAAACAACAACCAGATCTGCCAATTATAGGCTTGTGGTCTGAAGCCGGTTTAACTCCTCCGCCTGATGGCTTGGGCGATCCGTGCTGGGCCGTGTCCTCACCGTGGGGTTCTCGGCAGCCTGATGCCATCAGGTAAACGTTGGGGAAGGGGTTCCTGCTGCCTGAAACAGCGAGAGCTGCTTCTCTGCAGTGTAATTCTGTTATTTCCACACGCGTGCGGACCCAGGCTTCCCTCCCCGTAGCGGGGCAAACTCCTGCACGGGCAGTTTTAAAAAATAACAAGTCGGAGGATCTGCTTCATCCCTGTCCTGCGGCTGAGCAGCTGTAACCAGGTTCGCACCAGGAACCGTCTCACCTTCTGTTCTGCAGCAGGCCGCTCCGGGGGTGTAAAATCTTTCTAACTTAAATCTTCTTTTGTTTCACCAGAGGCGAGATTTCCTTCCTGATCAGCTGCGCCAACGAGGTGGGGGACTTACTGTTGCTATTTTTCTTCTCGTTGTATTTAGCTGCTCAGTTAAGATATCCTGCTTTCCTTCCATTCAGTAAAATCGTTCAGTGCTGCGTTGTTCCTCGTAGCTTTGGGATTGCCACCGCCCGCGTCTGCAGGAGCTGCTGCCGATGCAGGCTCCTCGCGGGGGCTGATGGCCGGGCAGGATGGCGCAGCATTGCAGCTGGTGGAATTAATAGTTTCGGCTTAATATTTCCTTCCCCATGGCTCTGTCCAGCCACAGCATGATTTGCCCAGCTCCCTGGCTTGACAGCCTGCGCTGTAGCCCTGGCTCTTTACGCCTCGGCCCTGGCGATGGTCGTTCCCTGCCCGACCTGAACGTGCTGCCGTGCGGTTTGGGGCTGCTCTGCACCCGCATGGAGCTCTGCTCTCCACCGTGCCTAACCTGCCCCTCGGGAGGGGACCCAGGGATATCCTTTGACGCTCATGCAATGAATTGTTACAGAAGGGAGCAGCGTGATTTTCTTTTTGCAAAAAGTGCCTCTTTTTTGAAGGGGTGGAGGCAAATCCTCACCGCGCGCCTCGCCCCTGTCCCTGACAAATTCCAGTGACTCTTTCCTCAGCCCAGGGCTGGGAGGGAGATGATGTTGCTGGTTGAACAGAAAGCGTGCGGTGCTGATGCCACCTAGTGCCTCTGAACATCGGACTGGACAAGGCAACCGGAGCTGGCCCTGCTCTGCCCGCCGCCCCATGCCTGTTTCGGGCACACCAAGGAGCTCAGCTGGACTTCGGCTCTTTTCTAAGCCCACCTGGAGTTCTCTTACCGTGGGAGTGATGAGAAACAAACTGGTACTTTAAGATGTTTTGGAGTTGCTTTTTCCGGCACAGGCTTGTTCTCTGGGGATCCTAAAATGCAAAATTAAGCAAAGCCACAAAACTTGAACTTGCTGTCATGGGAGGTTTGCTGCCTGCTGGGCTCTCTGGGATGCTGGGGAGAGGCTGCCAAGGCTCGGCCAGCCCTCGTGCCGTTATCCCTCATCGCTCTTTCAGGCTGTGTCCACGGCTCCACTTCGGTAACCCCCAAACCATGTCAGACGCGGGGCAGGAGGAGAAGATCTCGTCCTCATTTGAGCTGAGGACAACTCACCATCCCCTCAGCCAGGGCAGCTGCCCGGTATTTAGGAGCAGCCCTGATCTCCGATACTAATCGACCTCTCGTGGACTTCAGAGAAATTAAACCTTAATTCCTCTTTGCTCTTGTGGTTTCCTGGAGCACGAGGGAATTGCTATTCCAAGTTACTGCCAAAGCTGCGGTCTCTGAGTAATTGGAGTGTGAGCGGATCTTGTTCTGATTAGGGCTTGGCTGGGGCTGGCGTGTGCTCGGGGCAGTGGGACGAGGAGCGTGCGCTCATCAGCCCACAGGGCTTGCTGGGAAGGAGCGAATGGCCGTGCTGGGGCTCTGCCTGCCGGACCGCACACGGCGAGGGCAGGAGCACCACTTTCCCAATTCACCAGCTTTAGGTGATGTAATGAAATTACATCACCTGCACGGATTACTATAGCCAGCACGGGCGTTTCTGTGCTTTGCTATTGCTTCATCCCATGTAAGACAGACCTGTGGGGCTTTGGGGTCTCTGTTGCCGCCCAAGGTCAACCCATGACAGCAAAGACGAAGGCTGCATTAACAGGAGCGCTGTGCGAGGCCTCGCTGCCCCTGGCAGGAGGCTAACGAGCGATGGTGCCACGAGCCTGCGGGCGCAGCCCCTGTGTGCCAGGCTCTCACAGCACACACAAAGCGGTTTTTCTCTGAACGGAACAGGAAGCACTTTGCGGCAATTGCTGTCCTCGCAGCCATCGCTGGTTCAGTGACTCTCCGGGCCACCGCACCGGGTGCTTCGGGGTCCACGACCCCCCACGCGATTCTGCTGGACCCTCCCAGAGCCCCGACCCCCCCAAGGGTGGGAGCGAGCGTCAGGGCAGCACCGGGGCCGCCGTCAAAGGAACTGCAGCATGGGAGAGGCAGGTTTGTTTGTGCCGTTGGAAAGGGGAAGCGGTGAGATGGTTGAGCCAGAGGCCCCCGTGAGCAAATCAGCCGCATGGCTGCAGCTTCCCCGATGAGTCTCCGCTTCTCACTTTGCTCCAGCAGCTGTAGAAGAAGCCGGGGCTGTCAGGTGCAAGCGTGCACGGGGAACTTACCAGAGAGATGCCTCCAGCCCTCAGGGTAAGTCACTCTCTGTACGAGCTCCATCCCACCACAACGGAGTTGTCACTGATCTTCCTCAAGGCCTTGTGAGGAAACAGCTTGTCTTGAAGCCAAAAGTCCAAGTGCTGGGTTTCGTCCAGCCTCCCCCCTGCACACGTTTGAAGGCAAAACGTGGGGTGGGGAGCCTCAGCCTACAAGGAGATTCACTCTGCTGCGAGTGAAGAGGAGGGGATGAGGTCAGGGTTTAACCCACAGCGTGTCCCCGTGGCTGCCTTTGGGGCAGTGCTGGGGTGGCTGAACACCCTACGGGTGCTGCTCTTGGCTCCTGCTGCTGCTGTGCCACAGCTGAAGGTTTGCAAGGACACCTTGGCGCTGCTCACAGCTGGGTTTGGGCTGAGCACAAGAGGGGTCCGCACCTGGGTCCCCCAAATCCCCCTCTAAACTTCCCACTCCAGGGCTGGGCACCCGTATTATCGGGGAGATCGAAGCAGAGGGGATGTGGGGAGGGTTGCGCTGGGCAGATGACACTTTGGGGTTTGTGGCCAGGCGAGGGAAATGCTCGTCGCCACCTGCCTTTGCATAACGCCAGCCCAGCGTGGGGTCCATGCTGCGGAGGTGCCTGTGACCATTCCCAAACTGGCTGGGCTTTGCTCAGCGAGGTCACAAGCGTAAGCTGAACGGCAGGGAGAAGGTTCAGTCTGGCCCAGGAGCCCGGCAGCCGCACAGGGGTAAAACTCGGCTTCTTCAGCCTAATCAAGGGGTTGGGAGCAAAGTTTGGAGCCAGTCTGGGCTGTGGGGCCGGTACCAACCAGGAGCAGCGGGCTTGGAGACCTCAGGGTGGGGAACTTGGTCTCTTGGGGCAGTTTGGAGATAGCTGAGATAGCTGCCACCTGCCTCCCTGCATGGGAGAGCTGAGAATGGCTTGGGGAAAGGTCCTTGCCAGGGGACGGGGACTTGCTGCAAGCTGCAAGATGATGCCAATGTTGCAGACAGACAGGGTCTCGCGCTTTCCCTTGCAGAGGCTCTGCCATGGCACTTGAAAACGATGCCAAAGGTGCAAATATCATGCCTGTGGTCTTAACTCTTACCCTACGTTGAAGGTGAAGGTTCTGCCCCTGCAGAATTGCCTTAAAGGTGATGGTTTATCAGGCTGACAGCTGATAGTCATGAATGGAAAAGGGAGGTTTTGGCAGAGAGGGGAAGGGGGTTATGGTGTGTTAACAGCTTGTTTTCTGTTTCTATCTGCAAGCCTCGAGCAGCGTTCAGGGGCTGTGTGTGCTTCGGGGCCACTAATCCCTGGGGCCCCGCTGTAGGAAGTCACTGACCCATCACACAGGTGGGAACGCCAGAGACCAGGAATTACTCTCTGGCTACAGCTTCCATCAGCTGATACTTCTGACAAAACACTTGGCTCCTCCACTCCCCCCTTGGCAGCCCCTGGGCTGCAGCCTGCAGTGCTGCCTTAGACCGCGCTGAGCTCTGCCGTGCTCTGTGCTGTCGTCTCCTGCTTGGGGTTATACCTTGCACAGGGCTCGGAGGGCTCCCAAATGTCAGACTCCCTGCTCAACCACTCCTGGCCGTCGTTCTCGAGGCGCTGGAAGAAGAGATGGTCCTTTAAGCGAGGTAATGGCCTTTGCACAGGGAGAGCGGTCTGAGCCGTGTGTCGGGAGCTGGGCTGCTGCAGGGCGGGCGGCAGAGCCTGTCCCGGACGAGCAGGTAGCAGAGAGCGCTGGGGTCCCCGGGCAGAGCTTGGTGTTGGGTGCACCCCGCTCCTCTCTGCAGGGGACACCGCATAAGTGTTGGTTATCGCTTTCCTTCCGTTTCATCTTCTTTTCAAGGCACATTAATGCTTTTAGGAGCTGGGTAATGGGTTAAACATCAGCCTTCTGGTTTTGTAATAAATTTGTTTCGTTGCTGCCAGTGAGCTGGAGGTCCCGGTGTTTGCAGACAGCTGTCTCTGCACGGCTGCCTGGCGAGGGCTGAGGCTTATGTCGAGAGTTTGGTGTTTGAGCAGACGCTGAGGAAAAGATTCCTCCAGTCTTTCAGAGAGGACTGACGAGCAGAGCCCTTGTGTTCGGAGCAGAGTCTGAGCCGTGGCGGTTTGTGTGGCACCGGCTGAGCTTCACGGTGTCCGCCAGCAAGGACGGGAAATGCCAGCTATGGTGTGAACTGGCCTCATTCCTGCATGCAGTGCCGTGACTTGGAAAGAGGGAAGTGAGAGCCCCGGGAAGCGGGATGTTTGCAGTCCCAGAGGAGCTGGGCACTGCTGTCCTGGCCTGCAAACACTGCCTTCAGACTGATGCTTTCGGGTGCCTTTATCTGTGGCATTAGAGC